GTGTGTGTGTGTGTGTGTGTGTGTGCGCGCGCGCGCGTGCGTGTGTGTGTGTGTGTGTGTGAGAAAAAAACACTACTGAAATTGTGCAAAGTTCTTCATGACTTTTTGCTAAACTCAAATTCTCTATTTATGCAAAATGAATAAATGCATAAAATAACACAGAAACCAAATTTAAAAAAATGTATCTACAGCGTTAGCATTGCTGTGTCCAGCTTGAATGATGCTCATCTCTTTAAAGCTGCCTCTGCAGACTTTATTCAGATTCCCTCCTTACTTTCTCCTACTGTCATGAGGGAATATCTTCTGAACCCCACAATTCCACGCATTTCTACAAAGACCAGAAGACAAATGATCCTTTCTGTGTCCCTCCACATCCAGAAAGCCATTTTGTCTACGTAATGCAGAGCCAAGTACTGCTTCAGAGTTTAAATGGGAAATGGGTACTGCTTTATTATGCTGCAGTGCCTTGAAATGAATGTGGATAATAGATATATTCACAGTGGTATTAATATCCTCAGAGTTCATTTTTTTTTTCTTCTTTGCTCATTCTCCATTTTCTCTCTCACAAGCTCTAAAGTACTTTGCCCTTGGCTATGCCTTATACTAAATGGATTTATGAGAACATTCGTGTCATATTTCCTTCTCTCCCGGATTGTCAAGACAGATCGTCAGTGAGCCACTGATTGAGTGGAATCACCACACAGACTTAGTACCCATTGTCAGGCCCCACATGCTCATCTCTGGGGGGAGTTTAACAAGGCAAATTGGTCAAAGACACCTCTCTCAAGGCTTTGCGACTATTATTAAGAAGAGGTCAGGGGTATTAAAAGAGTAGAGTACATTTCAAATCATAGTGTCAATGTCTAATAGACTAGTTATCATAAAACAAAATGCATTTTTATTAGGCGCCATATGAAGTAAATGCTAAATATACCATGCACAAACAAAATTACATTGTAGAGCTGCACTATAGAAAAGCACAACTGGTTTGAACACATGATTTGTTTTGTGTGTTCACTTGCCAATTGCATTAGAATCCTATATACACTTAAACATCAACAACAAAAACTTGCACTTTCACTACAAGCAACTGACTAGTTAAACCAGAGAGGACCATACCACATATCTTACAACTAATGTCAGCAAAAAGCCGACACATAAGTGCATATGATAAATGGTTTACCAATGTAGAGGAAAAAATACAGAAAAAAAAAGTTTTTATATTTGCATAGTGAAAGCAAATCACTGGATCCTTCATCATTTCAAGGTGTACACGGACACACCATCACAGCAGAAAACGCTCTGATACAGTACCTGCACATTTTGCTTAAATTACTCTAAGCAATTAAACTGTAGAACAGTGTGACAAATTATAGAGCAAGTAGAAAATACTTAAAAACAGATTACAGAACCAGTGAAGATATGAATAAAAAAGCGTTCATAACGTTCAAAACAAACGTGTGCTCCAGTCATTTTGCACAAAAAGATGTGCACCTGAATGAGTCTCCAGAGTGAAATAGTGGCATTATAAAAATCATTTGTTAGGCAGACAGAAAATATATTTTCACTCACTAAGATAAGTCACTTATGGATAGAGCAATGATTTTTGGACCGATTAGCCAACTGCTTAACAGGGACACATGCTGGATATAATTCTGTCAGATGACCAAACTACCTAAGAAAACACTGTTCCGAACTTCCAAAAACCTTCTACCATGCTTCACTGATGCCTGTAAAAAAGTGTTCCTTTTAGCAATTCCACACCCTGAAAGGAATAAACTGTGTTCTATTAGTGCCAAATTTGACTCATCCGTAATTTTTAAACCAAACAGCCTGTGGGTTTGATTCATAGATGGAATGTCATCAGAGATGCTGCTTTTTGATGACTGAAAATCTTTAACGAAGACCACTTCTGACCAGCCTCTTCAGAAAAAAAGTGGGCTTTCCAGGGTCACCCTGTTTGATATCACTGAAAAAGCATCAAGTGATCTTCACAATCCATGGGCAAAGACAGCTTGGGCTTTCTTGTCTGCTGCGCTCAGTTTTCATGGTCGACCAATGTGTTTGCAGTCGGTTTTGTTATGCTTCTGCTGAGAAGTTTGGACAGCCCATCTGGAAATACTTGTCTGCAGCAAGTTTTCTGCCAGAGAGAGACCTTGTTAATGCAGGATGGCTGCCTTGTGACTTGTTATGCAAAATCTTGTTGCACTGTAAGATTTGTAGAGGAAGCTGTCACTTCTTCTAGCATCCTCATCTCCTTAATACTTTTTAGCTGCCCTTCAGTTTTTACTGCACTAGTTCAACCTAGATATTACGTGTGGTATTTGAAAGCATGTCTGATTTAAGAGTTTTGTGATAGAGAGCAAAATAAAAAAATACTACTAAAAATAACATATTAAAAGGGATTGGGTGTAGTATCTCACACATAAAATAATTTTCTTTTAACAGACTGATAATATTTTAAACCCATGTTTAAACATCTAGATCATCTAAAATTACTGCAAAACATTGTGTGCATGTTTAAAAACTGGTCTGTGAAACAGTGACAGGTTTGAACTGGCAGAAATTGTTTTAGAGACAAGAAAAAGAAAGAGTATATATA